GAGAATTGCTTGAGCCTAAGAGGTAGAGGCTGCAAAAAGCCAAAGGTGACAGATTAAGACCCGGTCTCAAAATAATAATAATAAGTATATATGGCCAGATGCAGTTGCTCATGCCTGTAATCCCAGCACTTTGGGAGGCCGAGGTGGGAGGATTCCTTGAGCCCAGGAGTTCAAGACCAGCCTGGGCAACATAGTGAGACCCTGTATCTACAAAAATAAAAATGAAAAAAATTAGCCGGGTGTGGTGGCACACACCTATGGTCCCAGCTTCTCAGGAGGCTGAGGCAGGAGGATCACTTGAATCCAGGCAGGAGGTGGAGGCTGCAGTGAGCTGACATTGCACCACTGTACTCCAGCCTGAGCAACAGAGTGAGACCCTGTTATTTTTTAAAAATGTATATATATATACAAAGTTTCTGAGGGACATTTTATCATGTTAGTGGGGTGGGTGTGTGCACATGTGTGTGTTGATATGCATCTTAGTTTGGGTTATAGAATACCGTGGGCTGGGTGGCTTAAACAATACACATTCATTTCTCACAAGTGCTAGAGGCTGAGAAGTCCAAGATCAAGGTGCCAGCAGCTCCAAAGTCTGATGAGGGCTCTCTTCCTGGTTTGCAGATGGTTTTCTTTCCTCTTCTTCTTCCTTTTTTTTTTTTTTTTTTTTTTGACAAGGTCTTGTTCTGTCACCTGGCTGGAGTGCAGTGCAATCATAGCTCACTGCAGCCTTGATCGCCCAGGCTCAGGCAATTCTCTCGCTTTACTTTCTCAAGTAGCTGGGACCACAGGTGTGCACCATTACACTTGGCTTTTTTTTTTTTTTTTTTTTTTTTTAAATAAAGACAGGGTTTCACCATGCTGCACACGCTGGTCTCAAACTCCTGAGCTCAAGCTATTCTCCCATCCCGGCATCCCAAAACGCTGGGATTACAGGCATGAGCCAGCGTGCCCTGCCCACGATGGCCATCCTCTTACTACATCTTCATATGGCAGAGTAGACAGCAGAGAAGCAAGCTGTCTCCTGTCTCTTCTTCTTTTCTGTTTGTTTTCGTTTTTGTTTTTGTTGTTGTTTTTGTTTTTTGAGATGGAGTTTCATTCTTGTTGCCCAGGCTGCAGTGCAATAGTGCGATCTTGGGTCACCGCAACCTCCATCTCCCAGGTTCAAGCGATTTTCCTGCCTCAGCCTCCCGAGTAGCTGGGATTACAGGCATGCGCCACCATGCCCAGCTAATATGTATTTTTAGTAGAGACAGGGTTTCTCCATGTTGGTCAGGCTGATCTCCAACTCTGGACCTCAGGTGATCTATCTGCCTCGGCCTCCCAAAGTGCTGGGATTACAGGCATGAGCCATCACGCCCGGACTCTCCCGTCTCTTCTAACAAGGCATTAGTTCCATTCATGAGGGTTCCACCCTCATGACCTAACTACCTCCCAAAGGCCCATCTCCAAATACTACCCCATTGGGGCTTATGGTTTCAATAAATGAATTTTAGAGGGACACAACCATACACTCCATAACAATACAAATTGAGATATACATCTTATATGTCAACAAAACCTCAGATGCCATCAGTGATTTAAAAAATAGCATTATTTTAGGTACCACAAAAGGGAAAAAAAGGCAAAGTATAAACTATGTCACACAATTGACTATAAGATTATCCCAATTAAGTCCTTCTGAATTTTTTATTTTATTATTATTATTTATTTACTTACTTTAGAGACAGTGTCGTGCTGTCTCCCACGCTGGAGTGCAGTGCTGCAATCATGGTTCACTGCAGCATAAAACTCCTAGGCTCAAGTGAGCCTCCTGCCTCAGCCTCCAAAGTAGCTGGGACTACAGGTGTGCACCACCACACACAGCTAATTTGTTTTTGTTTGTTTATTTTGGTAGAGTGTGTCTCCCTAGGTTGCTGGTCTCAAATTCCTAGGCTCAAGTGATCCTCCCACCTCTGCCTCCAAAAGTGCTGGAATTACAGGCATGAGCCACCACGTCCATCTCAATCAAGTTCTTCTTAGAATCAATGAAATACTGCATATTTGTAGGAAATTTTCCTAGACCCGCTGCCAATGTGTGAATACATATGAGGGCACATACCTGCTGGTATAAGACAGCTGATATGGGAAACCTAACATCACGAGCTCCTGATGACTCCTTCTCTCCTTCCCTCCCTCCCTCCTTTCCTCGCTTCCTCCTTTCCTTGTTTCTTTCTTTCAGACGGAGTCTTGCTCTGTTGCCCAGGCTGGAGTTCAGTGGTGTGATCTCACCGTACTGCAACAACCATCTCCAAGTTCAAGCAAACCTCCTGCCTCAGCCTCCCAAGTAGCTGGGACTACAGGCACCGGCCACCATGCCCAGCTAATTTGTATTTTTAGTAGAGACAGGGTTTCACCATGTTGACCAGGCTGGTCTCCAACCCCTGACCTCAGGTGATGCCCCCACCTCGGCCTCCCAGAGTGCTGGGATTACAGGAGTGAGGCACCTTGCCCAGCCCCCAGATAACTCTGTCTCCCAATATTCAGACCCTTGTGTAATGCCTCCCACACTGATCTGGGATCAATGACATGTCAACGAGCATGATACAAGCAGGAGCTTGTCTCCTTGAACCTCTCCCTCTTGGAGAACTGAGCCACTATCTGAAGTGAAGAGATCTACCTGCCCTCCTGGACTGCATGGAGAAACTCTTGGCCACTCCTGGAAGCTCCAGTATCTCCGCTGAGCTATCAGGCATGGTGAGTGAAGGCGTCGTGGATTTCCAGGCCAGCTGGGCCTCAGGTTGACTGCATCCACATAAGGAACAAAAGGGAGACAGCAAAACAGCCAGCTGAACCTGGCCTAGATTTCAGTCAGAAACAATTAAGAGGGGCTGGGTGCAATGGTTCACACCTGTAATCCCAGCACTTCGGGAGGCCGAGGTGGGCGCATCACTTGAGGTCAGGAGTTAGAGACCAGCCTGGCCAACATGCTGGAACTCCATCTCTACTAAACAAATTCAAAAATTAGCCAGACGTGGTGGTGGGTGCCTGTAATCCCAGCTACTCGGCAGGCAGAGGCAGGAGAATCACTTGAACCCAGGAGGCGGAGGTTGCAGCGAGAGGAGATCGCGCCGCTGCATTCCAGCCTGGCAAGAGAGAGACTCCGTCTCCGATCTCAAAAAAGAAGAAAAAAGAAAAGAAACAATTAAAAGGGTGTTGGTTTAAGCCTTAAGTTTTAGGGTGGAGACACTGGCCAGAGCTCTGGAGTGTGCTAATATGTACATTCGGTTTGTGGTTCATGAAAGGTTCCTAGCTGCGGGGGCTATGATGGGTTCGAGGGCTTTCTGGGATGGGGGCTCTTTGGGCGATTATATTGCAGAGGCCAGAGCAGAGGCTGTGGAGCGGGTATGAGAATGGGGTTTGGGGCTTTGGGTTTTTTTTGTTTTTTGTTTTGTTTTGTTTTGTTTTTGAGACGGAGTTTTGCTCTTGTTGCCCAGGTTGGAGTGCAGTGGCACAATCTTGGCTCACTGAAACCTCTGCTTCCTGGATTCAAGAGATTCTCCTGCCTCAGCCTCCTGAGTAGTTGGGGTTACAGGCGCCCACCACCACACCTGGCTAATCTTTTGTACTTTTAGTAGAGACAGGGTTTCATCATGTTGGCCAGGCTGGTCTCAAACTCCTGACCTCAGGTGGTCCACCTACCTTGGCCTCCCAAAGTGCAGGGATTACAGGCGTGAGCCACCGCGCCCAGTCTTGGGTTTTTTTGTTTGTTTCTTTTTTTTGAGACAGAGTCTTGCTCTGTTGCCCAGATTGGAGTGCAGTGGCGTAATCTCAGCTCACTGCAACCTCTGCCTCCCAGGTTCAAGCGATTCTCATGCCTCAGCCTCCCAAGTAGCTAGGATTACAGGCACATGCCAACACACCTGGCTAATTTTTGTATTTTTAGTAGAGATGGGTTTTTGCCATGTTGGCCAGGATGGTCTCAAACTCCTGACCTCAGGTGATCTGCCTGCCTTGGCCTCCCAAAGTGCTGCGATTGTTAAGTGTGAGCCACTGCACCTGGCTGAGGATGGGGTTTTGTGGAGGTCTTAATTTGGGTTTCTCCAAAAGCAGCTGTGGAGGGAAGGATTGGAGGGAAAGTTGGAAGGGATGGAGAACATTGGTAGGGGAGGCAGGAAGAGACACAGATAAGAGAGAGCAGACGATAAAGGGTATTTTATCAAGCCCAAACCACTGTGGGGAACTGGGGATTCATCCACTGGGGAACTCTGGAGCCCGCAGAGGCCATGCATTTCCAAGTTAGCCCAACAGACAGGTGGGGGACCATCTCCTATCGGTAACTGGCCGAGGGCTGCTGGAGTGGGAAGTGGGCACGAACCCCCCTGGCTTCCAACACTTGCCACGCCCATACCAGGGCAGAGCCGCACCAGTGGTCTGAAACTGCCCAAAGGCAAATATTTTGGGGCTGACACCTAGGCTGGTCTCAAACTCCTGACCTCAAGTGATCCTCACCCCTTGGCCTCCCAAAGGCCAGTCCTACTTGTGTCACCAGGGTGAGGGTGATGGGATATGGACCCGGCACCCATGGTGGCTGCTATGTCCTCCCTCCTCAGGCACATTCATCCCAATATGACCCCTCGGCGGGCATCACAGCCACTCTCCTGTGCCAGTGCCCCCAGAGATCAGACAACAATGGTTCTAGTCCAAATTGAGTTTATTTTTATTTCATTTTCTTTTTTTTTTTTGAGACAGAATTTTGCTTTGTCACCCAGGCTGGAGTGCAGTGGTACAATCTTGGCTCACTGCAACCTCCACCTCCTGGGTTCAAGCAATTCTCCTGCCTCAGCCTCCCAGGTAGCTGGGACTACAGGTGCGTGCCACCATGTCCAGCTAATTTTTTTTGTATTTTTAGTGGAGACAGGGTTTCACCATGTTGGCCAGGCTGGTCTCAAACTCCTGACCTCAACTGATCCACCCGCCTCGGCCTCCCAGAGTGTTAGGATTATAGGCATGATCCACCACACCTGACCCAAATTGACTTTAATAAAGAGCTTGAGAGATGCTCAGATTAAGGAGGGAGTGACTAGGAATGCTGGGGTCTGGAACGGGGCCCAGCTGAGTTCTGAATCAGAGAGCAGTGGGACCTAAGGGTCCCTGATCTCAGAGGGTCCCTCCTGTCTCAGGGTGAGGACCCAAAGGGTGTGGGTCCTGGCGAGGGCGAGGAGGCCATCGTAGGAGCTTTACTGAGATGGTATTGAGATGCCCCAAGCACCACGTAGGGGGATTACATTTGGGTTTCTGGGAACGAAGAGCTGAGTTACGGAAGAGAACCCGAAGGATCTCCGCAGGGAAAGGACTAAGGGTGCAGGGTGTTTCACAGAAACAAACAAGGGGCCTCGATTTCACAGAAATCATCAAGAGGGCTCCTTGTGGGTAGAAGAGGGGTATCACAGCACCCCAAATATTGGGGCCTGTTCACCCCTCTGCAGCCATTCTGGGGTTTTAATGTAAGACCCCAATGGCAGGATATTCCACATACATTATCATGGTTTTGCAACATTAGCATACGCTGGCTGTCCCGCAGGACGGTGGGGACTGGAAAATCAGTCCAGGGTCTGGGTTTGAGTCCTAAGAGGACAGGCCTGGCGGCGCCACACGGCTCCTCTTCAACAGCTGCCGGAGCTGTAGACAAGGCAAAAGAGGGAGAGAAGTCTGTCAGGTTGGAAGCAGAGGTGGGGAAGGCACGCCATGCAGAGGGAGGGGTTAGAGAAGAGAGATTGAGTGGGGCCCGTTGGATTTGCAGGTCAGAGGTCCAGAGTCAAGACTTTGGAAGAGCCAGGTGCAGTGGCTCACGTCTGTAATCCCAGCACTTTGTGGGGCTAAGGTGGGCAAATCACCTGAGGTCAGGAGTTCAAGACCAGCCCAGCCACCATGGCGAAACCCCGCCTCTACCAAAGACACAAAAATTAGCCGGGCATGGTGGCGCGTGTGCCTTTAGTCCCAACTTGGGAGGCTGAGGCAGGAGAATCACGTGAACCTGGGAGGCAGAGCTTGCAGTGAGCTAAAATTGCACCACTGCACTCCAGCCTGGGTGACAAAGCAAGACTCTGTCGCCAAAAAAAAAAAAAAAAAAAAGATTAGGGAAGGAGGCTGGGAGAGTGATAGTTCATGCCTGTGATCCCAACACTTTGGGAGGCCAAGGTGGGAGGATCAATTGAGGCCAGGAGTTTGAGACCAGCCTAGACAACATGTGAGATCCCATCTCAAAAAAAAAAAAAACAAAATTAGCTGGGTGTGGTGTTGCCTGCCTGTAGTACCAGCAACTAGAGAGGCTGAGGTGGGAGGATCCCTTGAGCCCAGGAACTCGAGGCTGCAGTGAGCTGTGATCATGCCACTGCACTCCAGCCTAGGCAACAGAGCAAGACACTGCCTCAAAATAAATACATAAATAAAAATAAAAATAAAGATGTGGGAAGAAGGTCAAGGCCTGGGTTCATACACTGAGAAAGGGTCAGGAAGCAGAACTTCAGTGAAGGGAAAGGGGCTACTGGCTGGGGGTTCCCACCTGGGGGTGAGCAATGAGAGGGAATTGTAAGGGAACAGGTAAGAGGTCAAAAGTCACATCTGAGGTCAGGAGCCAAGGTTAAGGGGAAGGGGACAGGAGGTCACACTTGGGGATCAAAGGTCACACCTTGAGGTCAAGCAAGATTCAGGATTGGGAGTACAGGTCACACTGTGAGGTCAGGGTTGGGGTAGAGATCACAGAAGTCACCATTCTTGGGTAAGGGATGAAACACTGAGGTCAGAGGCACATTATAGAGTCAGAGTTGCCTGAGGGCTGAAGTCACCTTCCGAGATTAGAAGTCATTCTCTGACAGTGAGCAGTGGGTGGGGCAGGGAGGTCATCCCGTGCCCGAGAGCTCAGAGGCCACTCTACAGGCAGGCTCAGTGCTTACTCACCCCCTCAGGGCCCGGCCCGGGCCGCAGCAGGTGAACGGGCTGCTCATTCTCCAGGTTGCGCAGTGTGGGGTCCGCCCCAGCTGCCAACAGGTGCCGCACGATGGCCTCCTGGGCCGGCCCAGGGGGCAGGGCAGCCGCCATGTGGAGGGCTGTGTTCCCGTGGGCCTGGAAAAGTAAGGGGAGGGCTGATGGGGATCTGGGCTCGGCTGGCCCAGGCCTCTAAACTGCACTTCAATTTCTGCCTTGTCCACGTCCTGTACTTGTCCTTTCACATCCCAGACCTCCCCCAGCCACAGCCACGCTGCACGCATCCCTGTGTCCATGGCCTACACGTTCCGGGGCAATCTATGTCTGCTTCCTACACATTCCCCTGCAAATCCCACACATCGTCCCCTCCATGTCCACAGCCCCCAGGACCCCTAACATCCCATTGCCCCTCTACTGTAACCCACACAGACTGCACTTCCCAGCCCCAGCTCCCACCTTCATGTTGACAAAGGTCCGCAGGTCTCCCCGGGGCAGCTCCAGCAGCAGCTGAACCAGAGTGGGGTTGGCAGCCTGCACGGCCAAGTGCAGAACTGTCTTGTTGCTCTTGATCTCCTAGGGGGAGGGGAATGGCAGAGGTCAGGGCCAGCCTCACACCCACGCACCTTCCCACTGAATCCAGGAGCCTTTAGACACCCTGATCCTTGGCGGAGTGCAGTGGTTCACACCTGTAATCCTAGCACTTTGAGAGGCTGAAGAAGGAGGACCACTTGAGGCCAGGAACTGGAGACCAGCCTGGACAACACAGCAAGACCTCATCTCTACAAAAAATAGAAAAATTAGCCAGGTGTGCTGGTGCGCACCTGTAGCCCCAGCTGCTTGGGAGGCTGAGGCAGGAGGATCATTCGAGCCTAGGAGTTCAAGGCTGCAGTGGGCCATGACCATGCCAGTACACTCCAGCATGGGTGACAGAGTGACACTCTATCTCAAAATAAATAAATAAATAAATAAGTAAATACGATGCTGGCCCTCCTCTGCAAGCCCCACCAAGAGTGCCTTATTCAGTTGTATGTCTTGTGCACTGCACAACACCCGTCTCAGGGTGTACCATTCACACCATACACCTCCCAGAACTGTACATTTCTTATGACAATTTTCACACCAGTGTCTGGGAAAGAGATTCTTTTTCCAGTTCTTCAAAGCAACTGCCTTGGCTACCTGCCCTCCATTCAACACATTAAACTGCATCCCGACCCACACAGACTGTACTTTATCTACAAGCACAGGAGTTGGCAGCATTCGTCAGTGGACTAGCTAATATTGCAATACTGCACCACAATATTGAGCTGTTCCCGTCATATTTGGGGGAAAATAAAAGACATTTTCTAAAATGAAACCTTTTTATGTGTCTTTAAGGAGTTGCAAATGATAATGAATGTTAAACATTTTATGTGCTGATAACAGGGCAAAACCACCTAGTTTGCTCATCCAAAAAATGAAGACAAAACCAAAGCTCTAGATTAAGAGTGATTTGAAAAGATGTGACATCATAATATGTGTGCTTACTTGGATCTTGATTTATTTTTTAATGAAAAAAATTATCATTTTATAGCCAAAAGCAAATTTGACTACAGCCAGGGTATTTGGTATTGCAAGAAAATCTTTAATTTTTTAAAGACAGAGTAATGATACTGAGGTTTAAAAAGTTCTTTTTTTTTTTTGAAGGGCACAGGGGCTCGTGCCTGTAATCCCAGCACTTTGGGAGGCCGAGGCAGGCGGATCACTTGAGGTCAAGAGTTTGAGACCAGCCTGGCCAACATGGTGAAACCGTCTCTACTAAAAATACAAAAATTAGCCAGGCGTGGTGGCACGTGCCTATAATCCCACCTACTTGGGAGGCTGAGGCACAGGAATAGCTTGAACGTGGGAGGCAGAGGTTGCAGTGAGCCAATATCACACCATTGCACTCCAGTCTGGGCAACAGAGCGAGACTCCGTCTCAAAATACAAAAGTTATTTTTTTTGTTTGTTTTTTGAGACGGGGTCTCGCTCTGTTGCCCAGGCTGGAGTGCAGTGGTGTGACCATGACTCACTGCAGCCTCAACTTACTGGGCTCGAGTGATCCTCCCACCTTAGGCTCCCCAAGCACTGGGATTACAGGGAAAGAGTTCTTATCTTTTATTATTATTATTACTATTGTTGTTGTTGTTGAGAGACAGGATCTTGCTCTGTCGCCCAGGCTGGAGTGCAGTGGCAACACCATGGCTCACTGCAGCCTTGACCTCCCCAGGTTCAAGTGATCCTCCCACCTCAGCCTCCTGAGTACCTGGGACCACAGGCACGCGCCATCAAGCCCAGCTAATTTTTATATTTTTTTGCAGAGATGCGGTCTCCCTATGTTGCCGAGGCTGGTCTCGAACTCCTGAGCTCAAGCAATCCACTCACCTGGGCCTCCCAAAGTGCTTGGATTACAGGCATGAGCCACCGCACCCAGCCATCTTTATTTTTTTTTAATTTATTTGTTATTATTACTAAAAATATAAAACTTAGAGGGGTGTGATAGCACACGCCTGTAGTCCCAGGTACTCAGGAGGCTGAGGCGGGAGGATCACTTGAACCCGGAAGGTTGCAGTGAGCCGAGACTGCACCACTGCACTCCAGCCTGGGTGACAGCGAGACCCCACCTCAAAAAAAAAAAAAAAAAGAAAGAAAAATTTATTTGTCCTGTTTTCAGAGAAATACTCCCTGATTTCTGAGTTCTCCCAGAACCCTACTACACAGTTAATTCTTCCTCTTCATCATCTCTCACTCAACTTAAATGTAATTTCCTCAGAACGACCTTCATCGTGAGCCCCGCATCCAACATAAAGCCAGTCTTTTCATTGTCTAGGAGCTCCTATATTTCCGAGGCAGCTCTCATCCCGATTTGTAATTATGTTCAGTTCTTTGTTTACTTATCATCTCCTCTCTTTTCGATTAAATTGTAATGTCTAAAAGTACAAGAGAGTGGTCTTTTCTTATTAAAACATGATAGGTAGCTGGGCACAGCAGCTCACACCTGTAATCCCAGCACTTGGGAGGCCAAGGCTGGGGGGTCACTTGGGCCCAAGAGTTCGAGACCAGCCTGGGCAACATAGCAAGACCCCATCTCTACAAAAAATAGAAAACAATTAGCCGGGTGAGGTGGCTCATGCCTGTAGTCCCAGCTACTTGGGAGGCTGAGGTGGGAGGAATGCTTGAGGCGGGGAGGTCGAGGCTTCAGTGATTCGTGATAGCACCATGGCACTCTAGCCTGGGTGACAAAGCCAGACCCTGTCTCTAAAAAACAAACAAACAAAAAGCAACTTTATGCCCCATCACAGCACACTGGTAGCCACATCATACGTGTCCAAAATTCTGAGTGAAGAAAGGAATGAATTACCAAAGTATCAATTCCACCTTCTCTGTATTGCCCAAATGATCACTTAGCTCTACTTTGCAACCATTAAGAGCCTAGATTGCCATCATTCATTTCCAGACCCCGCTAATAATGCCTTATCTTGTCTCTACTCAGCCATGCCTGTCCTTCCTACAGTCCATCCCCACCATCTAGCTAACTCTGCTAAACACCACTATTCTTTAAAGATATACAAATATTTATTGAAAAAAAATGTGTTTGAATTTGCTTAAAAATCACACGAAAGTGAGAGGCCGGGCGTGGTGGCTCATGCCTGTAATCCCAGCACTTTGGGAAGCCAAGTCGGGCGGATCACGAGGTCAGGAGATCGAGACCATCCTGGCTAACACGGTGAAACCCCATCTCTACTAAAAATGCAAAAAATTAAAGGCCGTGGCATGGTGGGCGGGGCCTGTAGTCCCCAGGCTCTCGGGGTGAGGCAGAAGAAATGGTGTGGAAACCCTGAGTGGAGCTTTTTGCCCCCAAGTTGAGCCCCGAGATCAAATGCCACTTGCCCCCAACTCCGCCTGTGACAGCAGGGGAAATCCATCAAAAAAAAAAAAAAAAAAAAATCAACCAGACAGTGAGAGAGTGGATGGGGGCAAGGCTGGCCATGAGTCGCTGGTTACTGATGTTGGACACAAGGAGTTCATTCTACGATTTTCTATATTTTATTGGTGTTCAATATTCTTTAACTAAAAAAATATGTTTTGGCTGGGCGTGGTGGCTCATGCCTGTAATCCTAGCACTTTGGGAGGCCAAGGTGGGCGGATCACCTGAGGTCAGGAGTTTGAGACCAGCCTGGCCAATATAGTGAAACCCTGTCTCCACTAAAAATACAAAAAAATCGCCGGGCGTGGTGGTGCATGACTGTAGTCCCAGCTACTCAGGAGGCTGAGGCAGAAGCATCGCTTGAACCCGGGAGGCAGAGGTTGCAGTGAGCTGAGATCACACCACTGCACTCCAGCTTGGGTGACAGAGTGAGATTCCATCTCAATAAATAAATAAACATTTTTTGTGGATGTTTAATTATCTCAGCCAGCCTATGAAAGAGCTACTGTCACAAGAAAGGAATAGAACATAATTAAAAGCTAGGTCCTAAAGTCAGACTACCTGGGTTCTAATTCCATCTCTGACATTCACAAGCTGTAAGATTTTTTAGGCTGGGTGCAGTGGCTCACAACTGTAATCCCAGCACTTTCAGAGGCAGAGGTGGAAGGATTGCTTGAGCTCAGGAGTTTGAGACCTGCCTGGCCAACATAGTTAGACCTTATCTCTACAAAAAAGTAGCCAGGGGTGGTGGTGCATGCTTGTGATCACAGTTACTTGGGAGGCTGAGGTGGGAGGATCACTTAAGTGCACAAGGTCAAGGCTGCAATAAGCTGTGATCATGCCACTGCACTCCAGCCTGAGTGACAGAGTGAGACCCTGTCTCAAAAAGATTTTTGAGGCCAGGTGCAGTGGCTCACGCTTGTAATCCCAGCACTTTGGGAGGCCAAGGCAGGACGATCACCTGAGGTCGGGAGTTCGAGACCAGCCTGGCCAACATGGAGAAACCCTGTCTCTACTAAAAATACAAAATTAGCTGGGCGTGGTGGTGGGAACCTGTAATCCCAGCTACTCGGGAGGCTGACACAGGAGAATCGCTTGAACCCAGGAGGCGGAGGTTGCAGTGAGCCGAGATTGCACCATTGCACTCCAGCCTGGGCGACAAGAGCAAACCTCTGTCTCAAAAAGAAAAAAAAAAAGATTTTTGATTTCCCGTGCCTCAGTTTCCTTATCAGTAAAATAGAGAAAATAGAAAGAGTACACATGTCAAAGGGTGTTTGTGAGGTTTCAATAAGCTAATCTGAAACTCAGTGCTTGATGAATGAAAACTAAGTGCTTGATAACATACCCTAAGGTCAGTAATATTATTCCCAGTTAACAACTAGGGGCCGGGTATGGTGGCTCACGCCTGTAATCCCAGCACTTTGGGAGGCCAAGGTGGGGGGATCATTTGAGGTCAGGAGTTTGAGACCAGCCTGGCCAACACGATGAAAGCCCACCTCTACTAAAATACAAAAAAAAAAAAAAATTGCCGGGCATGGTGGCATGCGCCTACAGTCCCAGCTACTCAGGAGGCTAAGGCAGGAGAATCGCTTGAACCTGGGAGATAGAGGTGGCTGTGAGACGAGATTGCACCACTGCACTCTAGCCTGGACGACAGAGTGAGACCCTGTCTCAACAAACAAACAAATAACAATAACAACAACAACGACAAAACCCTGCAGGGCGTGGTGGCTCCCGCCTGTAATCCCAGCACTTTGGGAGGCCAAGGCAGGTGGATCACCTGAGGTCAGGAGTTCAAGACCAGCAGGACCAACATGGAGAAACCCCGTCTCTACTAAAAACACAAAAACTTAGCCAGACATGGTGGCTCATGCCTGTAATCCCAGCTACTCGGGAGGCTGAGGCAGGAGAATCACTTGAACCCGGGAAATGGAGGTTGCAGTGAGCCGAGATCACATCATTGCACTCCAGCCAGGGCAACAACAGCAAAACTCCCTCTCAAAACAAACAAACAAAAAACCCCCAAGGCCCAGAGAAGTGAAGTAACATGTTCAAGGGCATGCAGCAAAGAAGAGGCAAAGTCAGCATTTGTCTGGAGCTCCCGGACATCAAAGTGGCCCCATTCCACACAGTCTCCCAGGGACCGACCGCCCACATCCCAGCTCACCTGGCTGGTGTGATTAGCACCCATTTGCAGCAACATGTGGACACAATCCAGTCTGTCTCGGGCCTGCGTGCTCAGCACCCGGGGGCAGAGGTCAGAAGGGCGCATAGCAACGTTAAGGGCCAGGATGGCCGTGTGGAGCGGGGTGAGGCCTGCAGAATGGAGACAAGTGAGGGACTTGCATCTGTTGCACCCACCTCGCCCAGTCATACCAACCACACCAGCCCTCCCTACACCCAACTTACCCTCGAAGTCTCTGGCTTCCAGGTCAACCTGGACCCCGGAGTTAAGCACAGCCTGGGAGGAAGAGAAGACAGAGTACTGGGTAAGGTTATCCCCTGGCCTCCTGACCCTGGAAGCCAAAATCCGGGCAACCAGTCTACCTCCCAGACGAACCCCTGCCTGCCAGTTGGCCGTACCAAGAGAACTCCTGGGAGCCCGTAGGTAGCGGCCACGTGCAAGACCGAACGTCCCTGATGGTCAGTGGCGTTGGGCTCTGCTCCCAGGTTCAGCAGATCCTCCACAATCAGGGGCTGGTTGGCAGCAGCCGCCACCAGGAGAGGGGTCTGCAAGTCACAGGAGAGGTCAGGCTGGGCTCCTGGTTCCCTCCTGTCGGAAAACCAGGCTCCCGCCGCCCTCTTTGCGCAGTGGGCAGCGCGCCAGTCTCATAATCTGAAGGAAAACCAGGCTCCCAGCCCTGTCTCCCCTCAGCCCCAGGAGCTAACCCCTGATTCCCCTCTTCTCTAGGATCCAGGGGTCCAGGCCCCAGGCTCCCTCCTCCCCTGAACCCAGGAGAGTTCAGGCCCCAGGCCTCACCTTGCCCTTATGCTCACGAATGTCAAGACGCCGGTACACCTGGAGCACCTCAGCCGCAGCATACGCCGCCCAGCGCAGCCCCCGAGCCGCAAACAGGTGAAGGAGCCTGAGGACAGATGGGGGGACAGGCGTGAGAACAGCCCCCGCCAAGCCAAGAGTCTGCAGACAACCCCATCCCCTATACTCACGTGTCCCCCTCCTCATCCTGGGCCAGCAGCTGCTGTGGCCCCAAAGCCAGTATGTGAGCTCGGGCCGACTCCAGCGATGGTCCAGGGACCACAGCGGGGAACTGTGGGGGTCCCGAAGGGAGTGTAGAAACTCTCCAGGGTCCTGCCTGTGGTAGGGAAGATTCTGCATAGAACCGGGTGTCCGGGGGGTCCTGAAGGGTACAGGTGGTGGGGAGAGCCAGTCAGCTGAGAACTTTCCCATCCCAAGCCACCACACACACACCTGCCTGCAGAGCCCCTGGGTATCCCATCTATGCCAAGTGACTTTCGACCTTTAGGCCTCAGTTTTGCCCATCTGGAAAAGGGGATTTTTTTTTTTTTTTTTTTTTCCGGCACAGAGTCTTGCTTTGTCACCCAGGCTGGAGTGCATCGGTGCAATCTCCACTCACTGCAACCTCTACCTCCTGGGTTCAAGCAATTCCCCTGCCTCAGCCTCCCGAGTAACTAGGATTACAGGCGCGCGCCACCACACCCAGCTAATTTTTGTATTTTTGGTTTCACCATGTTGGCCAGGCTGGTCTCAAACGCCTGACCTCAAGTGATCCGCCTGCCTTAGCCTCCCAAAGTGCTGGGATTACAGGCGTGAGCCACCACACCCGGCCTGGAAAAGTGGATCGTAACTGAGCTCCAGACATCTCAGAATACTGCAGGAGTGCAAATGCAAATTTTTAGGGGCCCTTCAGCATCCTGTACCCACTCTGTATCTCACCTCCATGCCCTGGGGAAATGGGCACGGCTGCCCTGGGTCCGAGGGTGGGTAGAAGTCAGGAGGCAGGAAACTTTCGGCAGCAGAAGCAGGGCAAGAGTAGGGGCTGTCTGTGTAGGCAGCATGCGTGTTGGGGTCCCAGTCTGGAAAGCCCATGGGGAGACCCAGGCTGCTAAGTCCAGAACCCACAGTCTCCGAGTGTGCTGGGAAGGGAGGGTGGCCTGCGTGTAAGAGGAGGGGCAGGGGCAGGTCTGGTTACCAGAGTTGGGGACTTCACATCCAGGGGTAGAGGGCCTGGTGTCTCCCAAGGTACTGAGAATTAGTACTTCTGGGACACCAAGTGCCTGGGATCTGGATTTCTAGGACACTGAGGAATTGAGGGCCTGGACTCCTGGGGCACTAAAAAGGCTGGAGCCTGGGCCCTGGGGTTCTGTAGGACTATGTGCATAGACTACTGGACTCAGAGAACCTAGGAAATCAGACTGCTACTGAGTTCCAGCAAGAATGAGGGCCTACCAGCCTGGGCAACATAGTCAGACCCCGTTTCTACAAAAATTTAAAAAATTAGCCGAGCAAGGTGGCATTGCCTGTGGTCCCAGCTACTTGGGAGGCTGAGGCGGGAGGATCACTCAAGCCCAGAAGGTTGAGGCTGCAGTGAGCCAGGTAGTGCCACTGCACTCCTTCCAGTGCCAGGGCAACAGAGTGAGATCCTGTCTCCATAAAAAAAAAAAAAACGGAAGAATGAGGGTCTGATTCCTAGGTGTCCCAAAGTTCTGAGAGCTGGGATGTCTGAGTCCCTTAGGGAAGGGGGATGGGGAGGCTGGGAGCCCAGAGAACTTACCAGTCACAGCCTCATTCACAGATGGGGTCAGGGGCTGCTCTGGGGGAGGGAGAAATTGTCCCTGCAGAGACAAAAGCAAAAAGGAACCCAGGTGACTATCTGGCAGATTCCTTCGTTCTGTCTCGGATCTATAGGACATTTCGGTCAGGACCACCCCTCTCATCAGCCCCGAGTGCCTCCGGCAAGCCGCTGAGTCCCTACGGGACAGCACGGGGCCTCCTGAGAGCTGTGGCCCCTGGCCTCACCTGCACCCCGCCAGCGTCCGGCTGCTGCTGCTGGCGGCGCCTCTGCTCTTCCAGAAGCTTCTTCACGGTTTGCGTTGGGCAGTGACTGCGCTCACCCCTGCTCACTGTGCGGGAGGGGGGGGGGGAGAAGTCATCAAGGGTCCTTAAGTCACCTAAATGTGGCGGGGGTGGCGCGGGGGGAGTGGGTTTGAGCACCCTCCTCGCCCTCCCGCGCGGAAAAACTGGCACATAGATGCCGCCTGACTCCTCCAAAGCCATTAGAAGATTTGGGGTGGGGCATCCGCCTCCGCCGTTTCCTTCCTTTTGCTCCGCACTTTCCCTCTGACCCAACTTTCCACCAGCGTCGCGGAAAGTGAGGAAGGGGGAGGAGGGCACCCCTCTGCAGCAACCACCCAACTTCCGTAAAAAAATTCCACCCCCAGATATCCCAGTTTTGAAGTCAGCGGGTTGGTGGGGGTCGGGCCCCAGGCATCACTCCCTAGACGCACATCCAGGTTCCCAACATTTTTTTGCCCTAGAACCTGATTCGGAAATCAGGAGTCCCCAGCGCCCCTCCTCGAGAAGTCAAAGGCATCACCCTGGGCCGGGAGCGGTGGCTCACGCCTGTAATCCCAACACTTTAGGAGGCCAAGGCGGTTGGATCACCTGAGGTCACGAGTTCGAGACCATCCTGACCAATATGGCGAAACCCCCGTCTCTACTAAAAATATAAAAACTGGCCGGGCGTGGTGGCGGGCGCCTGTAATTGCAGCTACTTGGGAGGCTGAGGCAGGGGAATCACTTGAAGCCAGGAGGCGGAGGTTGAGGTTGCAGTGAGCAGAGATCACGCCACTGCACTCCAGCCTGGGCGACAGAGAGAGACTCCATTAAAAAAAAAAAAAAAGTCCCATCCATACAGTCTCGCTTTCAGGCCCCAGGAGTCTGTACCCTCAGTTCGTTCCTCTCGAGGACCTGGGAGCCCCGGTTGCCAAACTCCTTATCACCACCCAGAAAGACAACCCTCACCCTTGAGCCTGAATTCCGGCGGAGGAAGGGTTAAGCGGGGATTGCTGGGGGCGGGGGCGGGAGGAGGTGGCTCGGAAACCGCCCGGACGCGGCGCAATGACGCCACGGCGCTCACGCAAGGGAATCTTCCATCCTCCCCTTCCCCCTAGGCCTGTGCCCCAGGTGTCCTGCTCCGAGGCGGGGTGCGCGGCCGAGCGTGGCGCTCGTGGAATCCCCGCGCAAGGGGAATTCCTGCTCAGCCCCGCACGGGTGGCGATCCGGAAATCCCAGGGCGGGGCAGAGGCAGGGTCACCGCCAGCGTAGACCCCTGAGGCCAGGCTCCGGACCCTTCCCCACCGAGACCCGCGCCGATTTTAAGCAACCACGCCCCCCAGCGCTCAGCCCAGTCCCTCCTTCTAGGGTTAGGAGTCTCGGCTGCCAGCAACCCCTAGCACCTCCAAGGACCCAGGGGTCCAACCTCCCAGCCCTTTCACCCTCGGGGCACCGCGATCCTAGATCCCCAGACCCCTGCACCCCCAGGACCCAGAAGTCCGAGATCCCAGCCGCCCCTCCGTCACGATCCACGATCCCCTCCTCCTCCAAACACCTAGGACCCTCACTCTCGGGACACAGGACTGACGCTCCAGCTCCGTCCCTCAGGGCCTCGGGAGTCTTTCGATCCTCAGTCCCTCACTCTCTTAGCTGGCCGAGCGTGCCCTACCCGCACCCGTTACCTCGGGGATTCCTTGGCGTGGATTGCGGGCCCCCAGGGCCGCGGCCTCGGCGCTGCGCCAGCCTCGCTGTTTCCCCCGCGGAGCCACCGCCGGGTCCCCGATCTTAGGTCCGGTACCCGCGAGTTTTTAAACTAGGGGTTCTGGCACCGCCCAGTCCTGGGCAGGGCCCGCCCACAAGCCTGGGAGTCCCCGGGTCGCGCTCCGGCGAACGCAGTCCCTGAATGGGCAGGGTGGACTTGGGAGGCGGACTACTAGGTCCCTGGGGAAGGATGGAGCTGGGGTCCAGATCTTTGGTCTGAAGGAGCCTAGGGTACTGGGCTCCAAGAGGAGGGGGATACTGGGGGGCCTGGATTTCTTTTCTAGTGATTCTCTGGCCTCAGCCTCCCGAGTAGCTGCCACTACAGGCGCCGGACACCACACCTGACTAATTTTTGTATTTTTAGGACAGACGGGGTTTCACCATTTGGCCAGGCTGGTCTCGAACTCCTGACCTCAGGTGACCCACCTGCCTTGACCTCCCAAAGTGCTGGGATTACAGGCTTGAGCCGTGGTGCCTGGCTGGGGCCTGGATTTCTGAGTCTGTCCAAGGGGGTGCTGGAGGCTTTGTCTCCTGGGTCCTGCCCATGGAGGTAGTGGTAGGAGTGGGAATGGAGATAGGGGTGGGGGCAGGAAGAATATTACTGGGTCCAGAGGGAGGGGAGGACTGGGGGTCTAGACTCCCAGAGAAAGGGCCTGTGGGTAAGGGTATAGGGTGTGGCTCAATTTCTTCCTCTCCCCTACATCACCCTTTTCAGAGGTCTGGTTTCATTTACTCATCCATCATTTAAAATAATTCATTGCAGCAGAGGAGGCATTTTGCTGGGTACTGTGAACTAAGTAGACAGGAATTCCCAGCCCTGGAGCTGACATTCCAGTGGGAGGCCACTGTCAGTTTCACTTGGTGACCTTTCACAACACTGACCACGTTGGCCCTATTTCTCCCCTGCTTGTTTGCTTGCTTGCTTTTCTTTTCTTATTCTTTTTCTTTCTCTTTCTTTTTTTGGAGACAGGGCCTCACTCTGTCACCTAGGCTGTAGTGCAGTGGCAAAGTGGCGAGATCTCAGCTCAGTGCAACCTCCACCTGCTTCAGTCTCCCAAGTAGCTGGGATTACAGGAGCCTGACACCATGCCCGGGTAATTTTTGTATTTTTGTAGAGACGGGGTTTCACCATGTTGGCTTGAACTCCTGACCTCAGGTGATCCTCCTGCCTTGGCCTGCCAAAGTGCTGGGATTACAGGCATGAGCCACCACGGTGGTCTCTCCCCTGCTTTCAAGATGCCAAGCTCTCCGGTGTCCCCTCCCTTACTCCCTCTTTCTCCATTTCCCTGGCAGAGTTCCTCCTCTTCCCCCATTCAGTGTGTGTTGGGATGGGGGCAGAATCCTGTCTGCACTCACTTCCTTGGTGATCTCACCCAGTCTTGTGGCTTTAAGTAGCATCCATAAGCCATCAACCCCCAAATTTACATCTCCAGACCAGCCTTATCCCCTGAACTCCTAAATGCAGTGAGGTCATTCAGCATCTCCACAGGGAGATTATCAGGCATTTCCAACTCCGTGTGCCCAAACCTCGTCACTTTCCCCGCAAACCCACTTCCCCACCTTTCATCTCTGCCAGCAGACACTCCCATCTTCTCAGCTTTTCAAGCCAGAAGGCTTGGCTGTCTAGGATCCCTCTCAAACACGCCCACATCCATTTCATCAGCAAATTTTGTTGGCCGTACCTCCAAAATATTTCCAGATCTCCCTAGCCTGCACCCCTGGCCACCTGTCATTCCCACTTGGCCAGGCCAGCAGCCTCCCTGGTCTCTCTGACCCTCCCCCTGAGTCAGTTCACCAAAGGCAATAACGGAGACACCCCCTCAACAGACACAGGAAGCAGATGGCCTTGACACCAGCAGGGTGACATCCGCTATTGCTACTTCTCTGCTCCCCCACAGTTCCTCGGGACTTCTCTGGACCACAGTCCTCTACCAGACCCCTGCCAGACCCCAGCCCACCATGATCCATCCGGGTCACATCCTCTTCCTGCTTTTGCTCCCAGGTGAAGCCAGTGGTTACAGGGGATGGTAGGCAGAGTGTTTGTGAGATGGGTGCTTGGGTGACGTCTGTAGGGACGGGTGCTGAAAGTGGGGTTCTTTTCCCTGCACCCCTTCCCTTCTGGGAGATCCATTTGGCTTCAGAGCCTAGGTCCTTGGGGGCGGGAGGAGGTGAGGCAGGGAGTTCCGGAGGGGCTGCCTGTTAGCATCCCCTTCTCGTGGCTGGGTCTCTGCTGCCAATTCCAATTTCTTGTCACTCTCCATGTCTCTGGGAGTCCCCTTCCCATGTGGCCCTGTTCCATCTCTCCAACATGGAGATTACTTCTCATGACACTACCTTTCCTTCCGTACACCATATTTTTTGGTTTGTTTGTTTTGAGATGAGGTCTTGCTCTGTTGTCCAAGCTGGAGTGCAGTGGCGCAATCATGGCTTACTGCAGTCTTGACTTCCTGGGCTCAGGTGATCCTCCCACCTCAGCCTCCCGAGTAACTGGGATTACAGGTGCGAACCAACACCTTCAGCTAATTTTTGTATTTCTTGCAGAGATGGGGGTCTCACTATGTTGTCCAGGCTGGTCTCGAACTCCTGGGCTCAAGTGATCTTTCTGCCTCCGCCTCCCAAAGTGCTAGGATGACAGGCATAAGCCACCACGACGGACTGAGCATTCTGTTCTGTGGACCTTCTCTCCATCCTCATCTACCTTCTTTCTCTTTCCACAGTGGCTGCAGCTCAGACGACCCCAGGTGAGAGATCACTCCTTGCTTTTTACCCTGGCACTTCAGGTGTCACTTCCATCCCAGAAGCTTGGCCAGAGGCTCCCAGAACACCCCAGTGGCTCTCCAGGTCACCATCCCACCTCCCGTCCCCAAATCAGACAATCCGTGTCCTTCTCCAAGTCCCAGAATCAGCGACCCCCAGCCTCTGTTCAGGAGTCCCCCGTGTGCCCGCCGCACAGCCCCGAGGGTCCTGGGGCACCCAGCCTCTCCGCATCTCTATCTCCTGTTTCATTCCCCAAGCGCAACCCTAGGGAACCTGGGACCCACCCCTCACAGGGGACTTCCTGTCTCCCTGTGACCAAAGCATAGCCCCAGGACGCAGAGCCTGACTGTCTCCCTGTTCCGGCCCCCGCTCTCCAGGCTCCTGTTCCGGATGTGGGTCCCTCTCTCTGCCGCTCCTGGCAGGCCTTGTGGCGGCGGATGCGGTGGCGTCGCTGCTCATCGTGGGGGCGGTGTTCCTGTGCGCACGCCCACGCCGCAGCCCCGCCCAAGGTAAGGGCAGGGATGGGCGGGGCCTGGAGGGTGCATGATGTCCCTAGGGAGGGGGTCCCAGGGAGGGGGCCCTTGGGGAAGCCCTGGAGGAGGTGCTGGGGAAACCCTGGGGGAGGTGCCCGGGGGAACCCCTGAGGAAACCCCTGAAGCAGGGGGTCCCCAGGGAAGTGGAGATGTGGGTGGTCAGGCTTCATGCTTTCTTTCCCTACCCCCAGAAGATGGCAAAGTCTACATCAACATGCCGGGCAGGGGCTGACCCTCCTGCACCTTGGACCTTTGACTTCCGACCCTCTCATCCTGGATGATGTGTGGTGCCACAGGAACGCCCCCCCCCCCACAACTTTTGGATTGTAATAAAACAATTGAAACACCTGTAGTCGTATTCTTCCTCAAAGAACCCCAGCGTTCCCAAAGCCTCCCTCCCATGAACTGTTTCTGGATCCAAGGCCCCCTTGGGACCCCCACATGTCCCCCATCCCATCAGCCTAAGGATCTGGCATAATGTTTTTGTGCTTCATGTTTATTTGAGGGCAGTATTGGGGAGAGGTCTGGTCTCTCAGGGACGGTACTCTGTGGGTCTGTATCACGGTAGGAGTTGGAATGAGGTGCGGGGTGGGCTTCAGGAATGGCTGGATCCAGGTATCAGGTTGCTGACTGTCATGATTCGGGCTCATTTGTAATATGGCCTCTGTGTGTTGAGGTCGCTGTAGACATCCGACCTCTGACCCTGGAGCTCCTAAAAGGATGGGGACCATCAGTGGAAGGGACCCACCAAATAAAATCCAGCCTTCAGGCTTCTCCCAGTGGCCTACAAGGCCCCGGCAGCTTCTTCAGCTTTATAGCCATGGAAGAGATCTGGGTTTTATTCAAGCGCGTTCAATGTTCCCCCCTTCTCCTCTGCCTCATCAGTACGCCCTGGCCTCAGGGCCCCTGCATGTGCTGTTCCCTCCACCTGAAACTCTGTTCCCCTAGATCTCCTCTCCCTTCAAGTCTCAGTTCACGTCACCTCCTCAGAGAGGCATTTCTCAATTTCCCCTCTGTAGTTTCTTCCCCCCACACTCCAGTCACTGTCACAAAAGCCTGTTTATTTCCTTTACTGTGCCTCCCAAAATTATTGTATTAGTTCATTTGCTTCAAGTTTGTCTTAACTATGACATAAACTCTGTCACTGTGTCCCCAGCATCGAGCACTTATAGGTGCTGGACACATCCACAGAGGGAATGAATACATGAATACAAAGCGTAACGCTTTGCCCTAAAATTTCACTGCCACCAGTAACTGGAAAGGCCCCTCGGTCTTCTGGATATCACAGAGCCAAACCTGAGATTCTTAGACTTCACAAAGAAACTTTATCCACAAGTGAGGTGAATAGGCAAAGCTGGCCGCAGATAATACATCAGACTCCACACAGCGGGGTTCACACTTGGGGTGGGGAGAGGATCTATGTGGCCCCCAAGGGCAAGCCTCAGACAGAAACCCTAAAATTATATATAATGACTAGTCTGGGCATGCATTTTCAGGGGTGGGGTCTTAGAGGATCTCATGACCCCCTAAAGGGTTAAAAAGGAACATTGACAGAGAGGAGGATAGATGACTAGATTCTCTTGTATACACCATAGTTTTTAAAAAGAGCTTCAGCCAGGCATGGTGACTCATGCCTATAATCCCAGCACTTTGGGAGACCGAGGTAACGGGATCTCTTGAGCCCAGGAGTTTGAGACCAGCCTGGGCAACATAGTGAAAACCTATCTCTACTTTAAAAAAATAAATAAATAAATAAGGTTGGGTGCGGTGGCTCACACCTGTAATCCCAGCACTTTGGGAGGCCAAGGTGGGCGGATCACGAGGTCAGGAGATTGAGACCAGCCTGGCCAACATAGTGAAACCCCATCTCTACTAAAAATACAAAAATTAGCTGGGTGTGGTGGCATGTGCCTGTAGTTCCAGCTACTCGAGAGGCTGAGGCAGGAGAATCGACTGAACCTGGGAGGTGGAGGTTGCAGTGACTGAGACAACCCATTGCACCCAGCCTGGGTTAACATAGTGAGACTCCATCTCAAAAAAAAAAAAAAAAAAAAATTAAAGAAAAGAAAGAACGAAGAGCTTCAAGAATACTCAACCAGCACGCTTGCTTGTGCCTGTAATCCCAAGATTTTTGGAGGCTGAGGTGGGAGGATCACTTGAGACCAGGAGTTTGAGACCAGCCTGCGCAACATAGTGAGACCCCTGTCTTTTCTTTCTCTTTTTTTTTTTCTTTTTGAGATGGAGTCTCACTGTCTCCCAGGCTAGAGTGCAGTGGCATAATCTCGGCCCACTGCAACCTCCAACCCCCGGGTTCAAGCGATTCTCTTGCCTCAGCCTCCCAAGAAGCTAGAATTACAGGTGCCTGACACCATGCCTAGCTAATTTTTGTATTTTTAGTAGAGATGGGGTTTCACCATCTTGGCCAGGCTGGTCTTGAACTCCTGACCTCATGATCCACCTGCCTCAGCCTCCCAAAGTGTTAGGATTACAGGTGTGCGTCACCATGCCTGGCCAAAAAAACTTTTTTTTAATTATAAAAAACACTTACACTGCTCTCAGATTATATACACAATTCTGTATTTTTTGTGTGGATTTTTCTGAGGATTCTAGATTTTCTTAGTTTCTCAAAGGGATGCAGGGTCCTCAAACCCCAAAAAGAAATTGTAGGACTCCTCCCTTTAGAGTTACCACGGTAGGGCTGAATGATATTCTCTGCCCTACTGAGAGCATCTCCCAGAAATCAGTCGTCCTAGGGCTGGGTTTCTTCCAGAAAATTCCTGGCCTGACTTCTGGCAACGTCTGTGCTTGCATGTACAAAGGTAAAGACACCCTTTTTTTTTTTTTTTTTCCCAGACAGCATTTCCCCCTTGTTGCCCAGGCTGGAGTGCAATTGCGTGATCTTGGCTCACTGCAACCTCCGCCTCCCGGGTCAAAGGATTCTCCTGCCTCAGCCTCCCAAGTATCTGGGATTACAGGCATGCGTTACCACGCCCAGCTAATTTTGTATTTTTAGTAGAGACAGGGTCTCACTATGTTGGTCTCGAACTCCTGACCTCAAGTGATCCACCCGCCTCAGCCTCCCAAAGTGCTGGGATTACAGGCTTGAGTCACTGTGCCCGGCCCCTCTTCACACATTTTAAGTTGACCATAAGCTTGTCAGTTTTGGACAGATGTCCCATGTGCCCTCAAGGTTTGGGGGTGCCTCAGGGAGAGTGGCTTTGAAGTCCCTCTGATGGCATGAAGGAGTATTGGGCAGATATCCCCAGACAGGAGTGAAATGTGAGGACGACAGTCTGGTTTTCTCACCTGATAAGGCGACTCCGTCTCAGTGATACGCTGTTTCCGGGTCGCTGCTGGAGGTGAGGGGTGTTGTGAGGTGTAGACACAGGCAGAGTGGTGAGTTGAGGGTGTTTTGTCATTTCCAAATCAGCACCTCCATTACCATCCCTTCGGGTGTTTGAGATCTGGGAGCTTACCCAGCTGCCCACCCCCATCTAGGCAAGTCCTCAGGTTGTCCCCTGCTAGCCCCACTCACCCTCCGCAGCCCCTCGCCCCCCAGGGACCAGCCGGCCCAGGAAGTACACAGCCAGGGCGATGAGCACTGTCAGCACCAGGTCCCCCAGCACGATCCCTGCCAGCACGCCCGGGCTCACCGTAGAGCAACTACAATCTGCAGCACAGGGGTCAGGGGAAGTCAGTGTGCGCTGGGAACTGTGGGGAGGGGGTCAGAGGCGGGGAGGTTTGGAAAGGGTGAGGGAGGGACGGAGACAGGGAGGTCTTTGGGAGGAAGGGAGAGGGACCGCTGGGTCTAGGCCTACCGCTCTGGGCCTGGGCCTGGACAGGACGGAGACCTAAGGAGGAAAAAGAAGGTAAACTGAGGCACAGAGTTATGATGGGGGTCGAGGAGGCAAGTTTAGAAGCTGGGGAGGGTGGATCCTGACAGCCAGGAGGTAAGCAAGGGGGAGAGTGTGTCTGGCGGGACTCAGGGGGCTGGCGTCTGGGCCACTGGACTATGTGTGTTACTTCTGCACAATGTGTTCTGTGGCAACACTCTCAGATGTCTCTTCCCCACTACTTGTAGCGGATGACGAAACTTGGGAGCTCCGGCTCTGGGAGAAACGCCCAGGCTTTGGGAGGCTGGGGACCTGCTCCCATCCCAACACCCACTTTTCGTTCTCTCGTTTCACCCCGCTCCCTGCCCTGCCCCAAGCTGAGCCCAGGGACCCGGGAGGCAGGTGCGGAAGCCCCCAACTCACCACCTACAGCCAGCAGGAGAGGCAGGAGCAGGAGCCTGCTGCAGGGTTCAAGGCCCCCCATGAAGCCGGATGCTGCTGGACACCACAGTGTAAGGGCCGGTGGGATGTGGCGCAGCGTCCAAGCAAGTGAAGGAGGAAGTCTGAGGCGGGTGGTGGCAAGAGGGAGGAGGGGACAGGGGAGGAGGGACAGAAACAACACCCAAGAAAGAATCAGGCCCAGACACCCAGGGGCCATGCCACAGCCCCCCAACAACTGGACGTGAAGGGCAAGGGGTACACGAAGTACAAACTTCATTTCCATCCCCATCAGGGGTCAGACATCGTCTTAACAGGAGGGTCAGTGTCATGACCTTCCTCTGGCTGATTGAAACCAGCTCTGCCTCTACCTGGCTGGGCAACCTCGAGCAAGTCACTCCATCTTTTTTTTTTTTTTTTTGAGATGCAGTTTTCCTCTCTTTGCCTAGGATGGAGTGCAATGGCACGGTCTCGGCTCACTGCAAGCTCTGCCTCCCGGGTTCAAGTGATTCTCCTGCCTCAGCCTCCCAAGTAGCTGTGATTATAGGCGTCTGCCACCACGCCCAGCTAATTTTATATATATTTAGTAGAGACAGGGTTTCACCATGTTGGCCAGCTGGTCTCAAACTCCTGACCTCAGGTGATCCACCCACCTCGGCATCCCAAAGTGCTAGGATTGCAAGTGTGAGCCACAGCACCCAGCCCCAACCTTCCTGAGCCTCAGTTTCTTCATCTGTAAAATTAGGAGTAAAATGGGACCTACTTTTTACACTTGTGGGGATTAAATGAATTAAACTTCCTAGAACAGGGTCTGACACTCACCAGTTTTTTTTAAAGCATCAGCTATGATGATTATCATTTAATCATTAGAACCTTGTGCTGTTTAAAGGATATTAAAAGACCCATCAGCATGTGGGCACTAATGACATGGCAGGCACTCTGTCCCAAGCATTAAATCATTCAGTCCCCGCAATGCCCTTCTGGGGCACATGCTCTTATCATCCCCATTGTTCAGAGAGGTAGAGACACTTGCCTAAGGCTGCACAGCAAATCAAGGTGGAAATGGAACCCAAGACC